CAAATAATTGGTTTATAGGTTTGATGCTCACTGAAGAACAAATCAAGAACCTGGCCCTTTGCTGAGATTGAGAATTTATTGAGACGACGTGGGTCAAGTCTTCGTGAATACTCAACTATGCCATTTTCGGATAGGGAGAACATCAATTCAAGTTCGAATCGTCTCATTTTGGATGAATTAAATTATTATCGAAAGGCCTTCGCTGTTGAACACGATATACTTCTTAAGAAAATGACAGCCGAACAGAGGAGTGTCTACTCAAGAATTATGTCCGCTGTTGAATCCGACCAAGGAGGGCTCTTTTTTGTATATGGTTATGGTGGAACTGGGAAGACGTACCTGTAGAGGACTTTATTTGCTGGTTTGAGATCCAAAGGCGACATAGTCTTATGTGTCGCATCCAGCGGAATAACATCGCTTTTGTTGCCAGGTGGACGAACAACGCATTCTCGATTTGCTATACCATTGAATCCCCACCAGGAATCTACTTGCAACATTAATCAGTCAAGCCCTCTAGCGGAATTGATAATTCGTGCTTCACTAATAATATGAGATGAAGCACCAATGATGCATAAGCATTGTTTCGAAGCTGTACAGACATCGCTGCAGGGTATTATGGGAACAATTGATCCTTTGAACTTGAACAAACCGTTTGGCGGGAAGCCGGTTGTTTTTGGTGGAGATTTTCGACAAATACTTCATGTCATTCCAAAGGGTAGCCGTCAAGACATAGTCAATGCTGCCATTGATGCTTCTGACATATGGAGAAGTTGTACTGTGTTTAGGCTTACGAAAAATATACGCCTTCAGGGACTTGCTAATTCGGATGAATGTGATGAGCTTGCACAGTTTGCAGATTGGATAGCCAACATTGGAGATGGAACTATCGGGGGGTCGAATGATGGATGTGCAGCTATAGACATACCCGAGGACATTTTGCTTCAGCCATCTGATGATCCTATTGCTCAGATCGTTGAAAGCACATATCCAATGTATAAAGAGGCACCCGACTATCCAAGTTATTTGAAGGATAGAGCTATATTAGCGCCGACGTTGGATGTGGTCGAGTCTATCAATGAGTACATGACATCATTGAATTTTTTGGATGGTCGTATGTACTTGAGCTTCGACAGTGCGTGCAAATCAGATTCTAATAATGATTTTTTGTCTGATCTCCACACGCCTGAGTTTTTGAATAGTAGCAAGTGTTCCGGGATACCGAACCATGAGTTGTATTTAAAAATTGGAACTCCAGTCATGTTGTTCCGGAACATGTATCATTCTGTGGGTTGTGACAAAGCTATCCACTCATGTTCTTGAGTGTAAGATACTCACAGGAGATCATGCTGGTGATAAGGTGTTGATTCCAAGAATGGTCATAACTCCTTCTGATGTTAGAATTCCTTTCAAGTTCCAACGGCGATAGTTTTCCATTATGGTTTCTTACGCCATGACTATAAACAAGAGCCAGGGACAATCCTTATCTCATGTTGGTTTATTTCTTAAGAAACCAGTATTCAGTCATAGCCAATTATATGTTGTTGTCTCCCGTGTCACTAACCGAAAAGGTTTAAAAATCTTAATTTGTGGCGAAGATGACGTGCCAAAGAATCAAACCAATAATGTTGTATATAGGGAAGTGTTCAATAATATATGATCTTTTCAATTTAGTTATATGTTTATATGTCTATTCTTATGATCATGATCATTGCATTATTACACAATTTATATACAAAATTAATTTTTAAAAAGCGTATAGATAATAATATCCCCGTGCATCGCACGAGTGATTACTAGTCTTATATAATAATTTTGTTGTTAATCAATCAATTTAAATAGGTGTGCATAATAAAAATAATGTAATTGTTTAATTAGTTAAAATGATTTCAACGGGGCGCAACTCTAGACTGGACATATTTGAAATCCGGAAAACGACAACAAAAAGAAATTGAGGGAAAAGTACTTCAGCCAATCAGCAACAGCCAGCTCACTCTATAGCAGCCACCCTTTTGCTTAATCATTTTTTTTTTTTCGTGTTTTACTGTTTTATAAATATAAATGAAAAGATTAAATGTACCTTCATAACTCATAAGCATCGCCACCACAAGAGCAAAAATCAAACGCAGCTTTTTCATCAGATTTTGTTGATTGCCCGTAAATCTGACGCCAAAACCCAGCTAAACCCACATCAAAGTTCTGATTTTTTGTTCTTTTCTTGGGATATAATCGTAAAATGGAGGCCAACGAGTTCGAACATTAACACGGTTCTGTTATTTGAAGTGCAATTTCAATGTAAGATCTGGTTTTAGCACTTAAATTGAAAATGTTGCATTTATTTTTTTTAATTCAAGTTTGATTTTTGGTGAAGTTGAATTCTAATGTTTTTTTCCCCATCGAAAATAGATTAACAATTCAGTTTAAACGGAATTTTGTGCTGCTTCATGGACGCAAAGCTGGGTTAGAGTGTGAAATTATGTGTTTATTATTGAGGCAACAAATTTTGGACTTCAATTTCCTGGATTTACCTAACTTTTAGGGTTCTTGGCATCATTGAATGATTGGTACATGTTTATAATTTTTCTTATGCTATATTTGTGTCTGTGTTTGTCCATTGCAAATGGAGCTGGAAGAGTCATTGTTGAAAATTCTTCTGGCGTAGTGCTAGTAATGGACTAGATCAAAATGGCTCAATTAAATTCTAGTGCTTCTTCTATTAGAAACTTATTAGTGAAGTTTCTAGAAAAAAAAAATATATCAAACGGCGCAATGCACCTTGGGTCGCTATGGAAACAGCCTCCTTGTATAATTACAAGGGTAAGGTCTGCGTACAACTGACCCCCCATACCCCAACCTGTTGGGAATATACTGGGTATGTTGTTGTTGTTGTTGTTGTTGTTGTTGTTGTTGTTGTATATTTGTGTCTGTGATAGAAAAAAAAAACATGAAAAAAGTAAATTGTTTTTGTGATTTTCACAACTGGAGTCTTGATATACTCAAATGGATCCATCAAATTGTTTTGCGCCGAACAAATAATGATCGGTAACTTGTTTTGCTTAATCTTTGTGGTTTGTGCTATGACTAACATTCATGGTAAAATCGTACATAGAGTAACACAATGGATTGTGGAGTTGTGTTTTTATTAAAAAAAAAAAATCTTATGGCTTGCAAGTCATTCAATTCCTCTGCTAATTGCATCTATAAATATCTTGCAGTTCTTTCCCAAAGTGATTGATTTCATGATGATGAAGATTTATCGCGAGAAAGCCTATATTTTGGACTTATTGAAACACATGAAGCCACCAATGACAACAAGAGCCGATCTGTGGATTTTACAAGCTGGACGAGCATCATATCGAGGAAGCTAGCGATTGTTTTTTCATTTGATTTGTGGGCTGTTTTTTTTTCCTTGTAGTAGACATTTATTTACAATTTCATATAAGTAATCATGGGGAGTAATTTATTAAGGACTCTCCTCCAAAGCCTCTGCTTCAATTCTCCTTGGAATTATGCAGTGTTCTGGAAGCTTAAGCATCAGCATGAAATGTAAGTCGATTCGCGGCTTAGTATTGGTTCTTCTTTCTTTACTCTTTTTTTTTTTTTTAATTCTTGTTTAGTTGTTTCAAATTGGAAATTATTGGTTGAAGGCTATATTTGGTAAATTTAGCTGATAATCTAGCTTATAACTCATAAGCTAAGCTAGCTTTTAAGTAAATTTCGAGCTTTATAGCTGATAGCTTATGACTTATGGCAGAAAAATATATGATAAAAGTGTTTGGTATAATTAGCTGATGAGCTTGCTGAAATAAAAAATTCAATAAGCTACCCAAGGAAGCTTATGAGATAAGTTCGAACTTTTTTAAAAACGCTAATCATAACAAACCAAACTTATTTGAATATAGGAAGCTTATAAGCTAATTAAATAAAATATAAACTAGCTTATATGCTTACCAAATACAACCAAAGATGATTAATTAATGCTCTAGAAAATTTGGACTGAGAATCTTTGGTATGTGGTTGCAACCCTGTAGGAGGAAAGTTGATTCATGTG